TCTGTTTATTTTCATATGAACAATAAGACTTATCGTCATTATAATCAATCGTTAAAAATAACCATATTTCATTGTGAATAAAGTGCAAGTTTGTTTTGAATATGGATGCAATGCTTTGAGTGCAACGACCACCGCTTTAAGTGTCGCAGAGTCAACTGCGCAAGCGCCTGTGATTGCATACCAATTCGCTTAGTTATTATTTCTCGAGTAGCGAGAATGAGTTATTAATTAAGTACAGCATGTTGCATACATGTCTCGATTTTTATCATACATAACTCGCTATATTACTGATTAAAATTCAATATGGCTACCACCCAAGTTAAATCGCTTTTAACTTTCGTTTTCTTTCATAACGGCTTTTAAATGCAGGTGTGTATAATTTCCGTTTTGCCATAAAATATGTTGATTTATTTTGTGATAACACAATAAAAATAGAAAATGTGATGGTTGTTGTTTAAAATTTGTTAAAAAGCAAGGCCCTTTTTATCTTATGTATTGTTATGTAAGGGTGTAAATGATGATGAAATGATTTATTATAAATTTCTATGGGAAAGCCAAAAAGCTTTATTATTCATTTTAAAATATTAAAAGAAAAAAAAATATGAAGAATTACCGTCTACAAATAAAAGCAGTTACTAGTTCGAAATTTTACAAAGGTATCAGCTTATCGAATTTTGTTCATACTGAAAATAATTCATTAGTGCATTTTTTTCAAATCAAGCAAAGGAAAACTGTAGGGGAAAAATTTAATGGATTCGCAGACGCGCTACACGCAAAATTACACTTTGAATTGTCAACCCTCATGTAATCAGAAAGCATAATTTGAAATCCATAATTTCCAAATTAAACCTACAAATAACATACCAGTACCGCCGTTGTACCTCAGTCCATCCGTTCGTACAGTCCCAAAATAAATCGGCTCGTATTTCGGTCACGTACTTACGTATACGCCGCGCCGTCCGTCGTGACAGATTATATATCACTCGGAGATAAAAGCCCTACGATTTATCGCTGTGATATAGGCATGTATACCTACCCACTGTCGCTATGTACTATATAATCTACCCAAAAATTGTGATTCTCTTCTTGTGTTAGGTCGGCGGCCTTCAGATTAACACTGACCTTCCATCTCGGCTGTTATCGAAAACAGATTATTCTAAAATTTATTGTGAAGACCTCTGGTTCGGTACTTCTTTTAAGGAAATATTTCTATGTGATTAAATATCTTGGTAGGTACCAATAGAATTCAAGACATTTTTTGTAGAATATTTCATATTAATAAAATAATACGCTCGATCAATTGGTACTTTATAGTAAATCCTATGCCTATCATTGTCCCTGGAGAACAATGGATAGAATAAGAAGAATGAGTCATGATTCACGTCGCGGGTCCAGTGCAGATTGGTAAGGGCCAACGACTGCAAATACAACCGAAGCACGATAATAAATGTTTTGGTCACCCATCATTATGACCAAGCCCAACGCGTTAGCCTAGTTAATTATCATAGTAAATAAATATTTTTTTCCAACACTCACACCAATTAGCCTAGCACCAAAGTAAGCACTGTAAGGCTTGTGTTATGGGATACTAGGGTAGGATACATATATAATTATATTTATATAGAAATACATATTAAACATCTATGACTGGAGTACAAATGATTGTATTCATCACACAAACATCTGCTCCCACTGGGATTCGAGCCCAGGATCTCTCGAGTCGGCGACACCATGAAACCCGGCGTACAAACCACTCGGCCACGGAGGTCGTCAAATTATATAATATAGTACATATTTTACTTTGTAATAATATATTCATAAATTGTGAAGATTGCTAGACAATGTCACAGTTTATTCACTGCCACAAAATTTTGAAATTATTTGGTAATCACTGGACAACTGTACTTGTAAAATTAATAACGGAATATTCTTATTATTTTGATAATTCTCAATTCGAAACTTTATCAATTTATTCAAAAAGTTGTTGGCATTTGTAAATTTGTATTTATTTTAATCAATTATGTAGTTTTCATGATTTAGTTTTTAATTTGGTTTTAGAAATAAATGACTTGAATTTTTATTTCAATTTGAAGTTCTTGATTTTTAAACGAATTTAAAACTTTCACTCCTGTTAATATTTATTGAGGAAATAAGAACTATTCAGGCTAAGATTAAGTCACACGTCGAAAAACCAAACTTAGCCGCACATTAACATAAATAACGCAATGCAAACTCTTAATGGTTCATAAATAATGTTCTAATAGATAAATTATTCGACGTTCAAGTCATATAAATATCAGATGAAAAAGGAGTAAGAAGTGATCAGAAATAAATTTATTCGTTGCGTGATTTATGCGGTATTAAGTTTGTGTAGGCGGGCGGGGCCGGGGCGCGGGGCTACTATCTCTTTGGCACGCCAGACTGAGTTATGGCCGCCAGTTCGCTATCTCAAGTAAGAATTCTCGGCAACGCTACGAGAGTTAGTCCGAAGGAACTGGTACTTGTTTACTCTCCGAACATTGGGCTTCGGAATTGATAAGTGCGCCGCCTTATTGCTCCCATGGTTTTATTTATTATACGTCTAGATATATGAGGAGTTCATTAGATACCTATATTCATGCTATATTATACCATAAGTATCTTCCATCCATTACGGGATTAGAAGAGCCTCAAAGTTGCGATAACTTGGAAGCACCTTGGAAGATACAGATACCTATATGTGGCCATTACTCTTATTACTATATATATGTATTTGTATACGGCACCACATATTTTGACTCTAATAAAAAAACTATGTTGGTATACAGATGTTGTCCAGAAACAAAAGTGTCTACCACAACCTACAATCCCTTTTTTTTTAATTTGTCATGTAAATTAATAGACATTATTAAAGTCGTGTAAATTAAGATATAACTAAATTATTTATTATTATTGAAATTATCCCTACATAAGTATGTATTTTTATGTACCACTCTTATCAGGGCCTGTCAGAACATCAGCAGTCGTTGCACCAGCTTATGCTGAGACAGGATCAGGGTTAACCCTTATTATTATTGATAAATTTGTATCCCTTCTATTTTTATAATTATTGTATATACTTAAGTACTTAGTGGGGGTTAGTAAAAAGTTTTTTTTCTTTCTTTCTATTTGTCTATTACCTATATCTCCATGGAAAACTATAACTCCATGGAAAAATAAACCAGCATATTTCCTACATTCTCTATTTTCATCTTTTTGTGCGTTGCTTATATTTTGCTGTTTTTTTAGCTTTATTATTAAGTAAGAGGTAAGTATAATTAGTTTAACAGATAGTTTTGCGACTTTATTATCATTAAATAATGTTATTATACGTAGTAATACAACTGTATTGATTAATTTTATACATATTTTTATATCATGTTATTGTTTTCCTAAAACCAGTGAATTAAAACTTATAAATGTTTGTCGAGCTACAAAATACATACTTATATATTGTCTTTCAGATTAAATAAATTATAGGCTGGCAGGGTAAGGATAGACTCTACCAGCACTAAATATCAGGAAGTTAGGAGTCATTTGTCTCTTTTATTAAAAACAAACCTTTAATAAAATAAAATTGCATCATTCTAAATCTCTACCATTAGTATAACATTAACTGTATCTGCACTAAAGCTTACCCTCTTACTCTGCAGCGTGTGTGATTGGTTGCTTCATGCAGTGACGTCGCATATAAACAAGATGGCGGCTGATTCTTGATCACTGTAGACAACGAGAAATGACTTATATTAAGATTATATTTATTATATTATTATTATTATTATTAGAAAGTATTATACCTACATATTATGATATAATTATTAAATTGACTCTACATAAGTAGTAGGCAGATACTGTTTTGGTAAATTGGTCTTACGGTCGCATTCTGACGAATCTTATGAATTTTACACTTGACAAGCATTAAATAAATAAATTAAAATGCATTAAGACCACTAACAAAATTAATGTCTTATTTTATTCCTTTCGCAAACAAAGGGAGAGCATAAACTTTGATGAAACTAAAAAAATGGAATCTCTTAGTGCAATCGCAGTAGATATTTTATTTCTAAATACTTAATTATATTTGTTTCAAAATTCGTACTAAATCGTATACAACTGAACTAATCCTACGTTTAAAATTAATTAATTATTATTAAGAAAAATATGGAGTCTTATTAAATATTTCCCCACCTCTTATCCCCTCCGAAGCTGAGATTATAAGCGGCTAATGCGATTGGCTCTTATGTCGATGACGACATTTCTCAAATACCTACCCAGTAATCGTTATCTATATAAGGTGTTTTTACGAGACGAGAATAAGATTTTTTTATGGATTCTGTATGATCTTGCCTATTGTACTATACCATTATGTGAATAAAGTACTTAAGTTAATTTATTAAAATAAAGTATTAGTGAATTTGAATAAAATGAAATATTTTTTATGTATGACCACATTCAGGGTGATAATTAAAGTTAATGCTTATTAGAGTAAATTTTCATTTTTATGGCAAAGAAAGTGATATTGTCAATTTTAATCAAGCTTAAAACTTAATTGGCCTACTTATACTTCCATGGTCACAAACACTAATTAATAAATTACCCAAAAATTTGAAAATATCGTTTTTTAAATAAATAATGTAGTTAAGTGGGCATGTGAATGAGTATTAAAAATATCCTGTAACTTTTAACAATCCTTATAGGTAGGGCTGCCATCCGTCCCGATATATCGGGACTGTCACCGTTATTGAAGTCTCTGTCCCGACGTCCCGACATATACCAAAATGTCCCGATACTGTGCAAATCGTAATCGCGGGGTGAGGGGGCGGACCCACCACACCGCACCGGCGACCGCCCGCGTGAGCCAGTACCCGCTAGCCCCGCTGCCAACCGCGCGCAAACGCATATAACGGTTTTGTGTTTGTGCATTTTTTGATTAGTACGTGGTGTGGTGCCGGCAGTTCATAATTATTTAAAGTTAAACGAGAATGTCTACGGCGAAAAAGAGGAAGTGTCATTTCTCGGACGATTATACAAAAGAGTGGAGTTTCATAAAGAGAGGACGTACAAATGAAGAAGCGATGTGTAGTATTTGTAATTGTTTTATATCAATTTCTCACGGCGGTAAGGGAGACGTAAAACATCACATTTCTACAACCAATCACAAAACTAAATTCATGACAGTATCGACAGCAAGGCCCATATCTGGATTTATGATTAAAGAAAATACCCAAGAAGAAGTACTTATTGCTGCAGCGGAACTAACGACAGCATATAAAGTTGTTAAACACCATCAGTCATTCAAATCTCTTGATTGTACCGTGAAATTGAATTCCACAATGTATCCCGACTCAAAAGTTGCTGCAAAGCAGTCTACAGCTAGGACAAAGGCTACAGCCATTGTAACAAATATTCTCGCTCCACACTCCGTGAATGAAACTGTAAAAAAAATTCAAGAAGTTTCTTTTTACGGTATAGGCACGGATGCGTCCAATCACAAAGCTGAAAAGATGTTTCCTTTACTTGTTCAATATTTTACGGAAACTGACGGTATCCAACAAAAACTGTTGAAGTTTGATTCTTTAAAAAATGAAACATCGGAAACAATATCGAACTATTGTATTAACTCATTAAGAGAACTGCAGATTTCTTTGGATAAACTAATAGCTTTTTGTGGAGACAACGCCAATACCAACTTCGGAGGACTTAATCGACATGGTCAAAACAATGTTTTCAAGAGAATGAAGGAAGAATTAGGAAAATCGTTAGAAGGAATTGGGTGTCCGGCCCACATTCTGCACAATACAGTATCCAGCGCTGCTGAAATTTTATCTGTGGATGTTGAAGTCATTGTCCTAAAGATTTTTCACTATTTTTCGATATACACAGTTCGCACAGAGAGGCTGAAAGAGTTCTGCTCATTTATTGATATAAATTACCAAACTCTTTTGTCGCACTCAAAAACAAGATGGCTGTCGTTAATGCCCGCTGTTGAGAGAATCCTAAAACTTTGGATTCCGCTTAAAGATTTTTTTGACGCTGAAGAACGGCCACCTAAAATAATTTCAGATTTCTTTAGAAATCCGGTCAGTGAAATTTATTTTCTATTTTTGCTGTCCAATTTGAGCTTATTCGAACGAAATGTAAGAAGTGTTGAAAAGAATAAAATATCTATAATTGAAATAAAAAACATCTTAGATGAAACACAAAAACAACTGCTTGAAAGAAAAGCTGACAAGTTTATTGGCATGCAAACTAAAATAGAATTGAATAAACTTAAAAGGGAAAATCCAACACCTGAAACAGGAATATTGATTTCTAAATTTGAGGAGGAGACGGTACTGTTTTATAATACAGCAATAGATTATCTGAAAAAGTGGTCTGTTTCATTTAATAAATATGAAATTTTCAATTGGATGACGCTAACTGAAATCCCAGAATGGGCGAAGATTGAAGACACAATTCTATATCTTACTGAACATGGTGTGGAGATTTTGGGTGACAGATGCTATGAAGAATATACGTATCTGAAAACCTTTTTGGAGTCTGAACGGGCATCTGAAGAATGGAAGTCGAAGAAGTCTCTGGAAGAGAAATGGATGTACTTTTTGAACAAAACCGAAAATCCCGAAAGAAAGTGCCAAATGCTTAAACTATGCCAGTATTTATTTGCAATTCCAGCCCACAACGCTACAGTGGAAAGGGTGTTTTCTTTAATGACGGCTCAGTGGACTGATGAAAGGAATTCTCTGCTGCCGAAAACAGTGGAGTCAATATTACAGTGTCAGATAAACTATAATATGACATGCATTGAGTTCTACCATTATGTTAAAGGCAATATAGCCTTGCTAAAAAAAGTTAAGTCCTCGGAAAAATATAACATGCCGAGTACTTCTTCTGCTAATTCCTAAGTTATGTAATAAGAAAATAAATATTTGTCTTGCCTTGCCCTAAAATTTGTTTTTTTTCTTACTCGCCATTTCAGCCAGCCAAAGCGTCCCGATGATACCTTACCAAAATATGGCAGCCCTACTTATAGGTATTAAGCAAATGATTTGCTTAGCTCATGATTTGAAGAATCAAAATAATTAAAACCGCTCGATCTTAAACACGTATAAGCTCTTACGGCACTTTTGACAACACCCTATGATAAAATATTTTAACGCATTTAAGATGCAAATGACCGTTTAGCTATCTCAATAATTATGCTAATTTATTCTACACTTCGTAAATTCTTCACGGGTGGCGTGACTACGTCTAGTATTTTAAGGCCAACTAAAAATAAATACTTACAGCTCATTTATATTTTTAATATTCCAGCACCTGTACATACATTGAATAAAGTACCTACCCACAGCAAAAGGCTATAATTTTTTGAAAAATTATACACCATTTAAGTATTTATGAGAATGAAGTATGACTTACATTGCTATGCATGAGGTTTCCACTGCAGAAGTATCACTTGTAACTTTTTACGAACAAAAATACATATAATTTTTATTTTTATTACTTCTTTATACGTAGAGGTAGGAAATAATATTTAAAGCATTTAAATATTATTTAACACATTAAAATACTATAAAGCCGAGTGTATACTAGAACGATTTTTTCCAGACTAAAAGTGTTTTAACATGTCGATTCTGACACAATAGCCCAAACGTATAATTTTACTCGGATAAAACAAAACAAAACGCTCCAGCCTTTTGTTCAAGGCCCCGTTCTAAGAACACCATCGCTCCGATAATAAACAGAAAAAAAACATTACAAAAAGGTTAAAAAACTTTTTTGTTAGAAAACGTAACCCTTACTTTAGGTAAAGAATGTTTTGAGGAACACAAATGGGTTAACAGCTTTGTCCTTACACTTTGAAGCGACACGGTGTAATAAATTTCTCTAGTTTTATAAAAATCTCTTGGTGCCTTTCTTGGATCGCAGATTCTACAGGAATCCCGCAATGTTTGCCGTTGTCCAAACCGATTTTATTGCACCGTAAACCACTAAAAAGTATCTTTACCTTCTCGGACGATATACAGACAATGTAGGAAAGTGTTCCGAGCCATTAACCGTTTTAGATAACAATGCTCGGGGAATAATTACACCTTTTTGGAAGAAAGTCTTTCTCTTCCAATTGTTTTGTTTCGTTGCGCAAGTTATGATTATTGTTATGAGCGTTATGTCAAACATTGTCGCAGGTGAATTATTGCCGTGAGCAGATTTCTTTGTTAACGCTATTAACAAAGATAGTTTGATTCTGCGCGACTAAATTCAGTTTTGCTTCGTGGCTGCTAAAGTTTGGTGTACTTTTACGTTCAACGATGCCTGTGATTGAATTTAACATATTTTTGTTTCTGTGTCTGAAACTCGAACAGTGTTATCCGTAAATTGGGGATCACTAAATTACGACATCAAGCTAAAACAGGTTGGTATTTTTTTTTATTAATGCTACCTTAAAACTAATGATGCCAGATTATACATTTACTTGCTCTTTTTAATAACAAAGTCATGATCTCATAGAAATAAAAAATAAGTAGCTACCTACAATTTTCATACCATTAGCAAATATAATCGTGACCGCTATCAAAGTAAATTTCCATCAAGAGATTTAGGCATTTCTGGTGACTAGTTCCACCTATAAGGCTTTACGTTTCCGAGCCCCCGTTCGTCATCCCCGCACATAATCCTCAGTTATATAATAATCCGTGTATATATTTGCATATCATGGCGCGCACGACTGGCAAACTGTACAAAGCCGCCTAATGGACGGACAGTCGGCGCCACAATTCATAATTATCGTCTATTTTGACTGGACACTATCGGCGCTTTACAGGCAACTCTCGATGATGCCATTTCATTCAATACAGATTTAAAGTTAATACGAATATATAAAAAGATGGTTATTGATATTTAGTGTACGGCATTTCTTCTTTAGCAAAAAAAGGTAAAACTTAATAAGGAAATAAAGTAAAGGATAAAAAGTTGTTACAACTGAATTTTACTGAAATGTTAAAACAGACTTTGAGAGAGGCAGTCAAACATTTATTTCGACAAATTTTCGGCTCTAATTACAGTATAACAAACGGAGTTATACATACATAGCATTCTATACCTTTTACTAAGCATTACGCTCTTTGTTACGTAGCCTTTAACCTAACAACTCGAATTCAACACAAAAGTAGACTAAAAATAAGGGAATTAGTATCGAATCGACGTTAGTTTACGAGAGTCGTTGACATCATTACAGCACGTTTGTTCGACATATCGGGATCACAATACTTGCCAAATGTGTCTCGTGATGGCCCCACTTTTAACGCCCCCTTTATGACTGCACTAATAGATTCTAATGTATCCAAACTGAATTATTTATGCCTAGGAAATAGCTTTGCAGCTTTCATGTCTTTCACTATACATATTTGGGAGCACGCAGAAAGTTTACTATGTAAATTTATATAACAACATGTTTATTCTATGATTGTACTGAAATTAAATTGAATTTTTCAAGACATACGCAGGCTAGTTTTTCCTTTTGTTGTATATTGTAAAAATAGGGTAGCCAAATAAATAAAACATCCTTCATCCTTTTATTTTTACTTCCTCGCTGATCGTCGGATTTGTTAATTTAAGCAGGTCTAGGAAGACATTTTACTAAAGACTTATCCATAATATATATAAATATACAAGTGATTGTATATCCCCATAAGTGTAGGTTCAGCTAGCAAGGGTCATTAAACTTAATTGAAGGGTCATTCGCTAGCGAACTGGACCCTGCCTCTCATAGTTGGTGAGCAACGAAAGGAACGCGTAATGTCACGACAAAAGTTACTGAACTTCGATAGTTGAACGTCTGAAAACCGTAGCATGCGATTTTATACAGTAAGTGACCCTAATGAACAAGTATACTATAAATGTAAATGCTCAGAGCTTGCATATTAGTTAAACGGTGGAGTGTATAAAGCAGAGAATTCTACATCTTAAAGCACAGTATTAGCAAGTATTTTCTCATCCACAGAGTAGTAAAAACATCATTAATAATAACATGCAATTACATTAATAACTAGTACCTTTTAGTCCAATAGAATTATTGCATCAGAGTTTGCGTCAAATCCGTTCTGTTTTTGTAGACTTATTTGAGGAGCGCCTGTTCAAAGGGGGCTATTTCCGTATTTACTGACTTATAGTTTTTTCGTTAATTCTACTGGTATTCTAAGATCCTATCACAGCCTGTGTTTAGTCTTGATCGAAATTAATTATTTCTCCTTCAAATTTGAACTTAAATTCGCGGTCCTATTCAAACGGTGCTATTATTAGCTCATTTAAAAGTTTTTGTTCGACACATAAAAAAAAATATTAAACTTTTCGAAGTATTTTTTTTTATAGGAAGCTACATTTATGCCAAATGTATAAAACAACTTGGCATTGAATAATTGTCATTACTTTTTAAGATAAAAAAGAACATGTATTATGGCAAACTCTTTCAAATTTGCATGTTTTTTATGTTAAAAAGTAATGACAAGTTGTCTATGCTAAGTTATTTTATATATTTTGGCATAAATGTAGCTACCAATTTAAAAAAAAAAACAACATAAATAGTTTATTTGTTGATGCTAATTTATTATCATTCCTGATCAAAAGATGCTATTTTCCGAATATTCGACCAAAAAGTGCAATTTCCATTTTTAATTACTTAGTTTTGTGCTTTTTAATAATAGCAATAATAAATAAATTTACCCTAAACATAAGTGGCCTCCTCATGAATTACCTCCTGAATAAAAAAAAATACACTTCACATACATCATCAAATCAGCATACGTTTTTTTATTTTATCAACATTTACTTAACATGGAAATAGCCTCTATCGAACAGATGCTCCTCATTTATGATGTTGCTCGACATCGAACGCAACTGTGTAAAAAATCTATAAAATGGAGAAAATTACGACTTTTAAAGATTTTTGGCAATTATTACCTTATAAGACAAGATTTTGATAGTATATTTTCAGAACGATTTTTAAGTACACTAAATACCACCAATAGTGATAAAGTCTTCAAAGTTTTAATCCAATAAATGTATGCATCAGAGCTTAAGTCAAATCCGGTAGTTGTGAATTTATGCAGACTTGCCAATGATATTTGCCTAATGAATAAAACCCAAGTTTGCGACCTCGACTAATTCTTCAAAAATTAAGAACTCCCCCGGGGTTTTTTTATATCAGGTTTTGAATTTTTGATGTGACACTCGATTTGCCTCCTTAGATCTAATTCGAATTTTCGAAATTTAATATTGAAGTAAAATTAGTCTACTTTAAAAGTCTTGAGAAGGTACAATCAACAACTAGTTCTTTAGGGTTATGATTGAAAAAATTTGGAAAAAACTGAAGTTTTGCGGTGTTTTAGATTTTTGATATAATTGCGTTGCGACATGAATTTTTATGACTTTCCATTCCAAGCGCCTTTAAACCTTTAGTACTTTGTTTATACAACGTATATTTTAACATCCTACCTACTATCTACACTTATTTAAAATCAAAAGCGATCGACGATCCAAGATCTGAATACACCGTTGATATATGCTGTACCATCCCCAAGACAAAAACCAATTATTCCAAGCAGATACGCTGTGCTTTATCGCACTTGGCCATTTTCAATTTCTGTACCGCTGAACAATAGGTTATGAATATTTGAACTACATAACGTTTTCTTTGTATGGCGAACAATTTCTCGCTTACTTTGCGTTTAAGCGACAAGGGAAATATCTTCAGCATAATAGATAAGGCTTTGCAGGAAGGCGCTGTTACTGCTTTTGTTTCAGTGAAGCTACATTTTTCATACCTTCTTGGGTAGTACAGCGGAAAATTACCTGTAATATTAGACGTTGAACGACCATAATTGTTTGAAATACAACGTTCCGGGGAGAG